CGATTTAAGATTCAGTCATATGTAATTTGTATCTCACAATCACAACTCCTTGTGATTAACAAATCACCAAGACTTGAATCTACGGATTCTATTATTTAATTTATTAGAATATTAATTCAATTAAATAATAGATATTGCCATATATATGCATTGATTATATATATTCAAAGTGTTTATGTCCAAAGTTGATTGGACCTAGGGCATAACACTTACAGCAGTCTGGTTTGTCATGTTTTCCATTCCCTCGATTTTCTTTTCTCATGCAGATAAATTTGAGTATGTGTGGATGATGTTTGTGTATAATTTTGGTGATGTGTGATTGGGGATTTTTAATCTAGGTGGAGACTGTTTGGATTGATTTGACTGTTATGTGAATGAACATTGCGTTTAGATGTGTGCTTTGAGATAGCGCTATATGAGGATGTATCCTTGTATCTTGGTTAAGTGATCTTGATGGTGTATGTGGGTGCAGTTTGAAACTTTTAAGTATCGAATTGGTTTCAGATGATAATAGTTGAAATATGTCATTTGATTTTTGTTCACTGGTGGTTGTTGATTCGGAATGCAACATAACTCCAGCCGACAGTTAACGCAATGATTTTGAGTTCAATAAGATTGTAGATTGTAGTTAGAATAATGTTGAAACGTGTAAAGTTCTGATGGAATGCCAATTGGAAGAACATTGTTTATGATCTGGCCTCCTTTTGTGAATACTGAACCTTTTTGATCACTGCTTATGTATTATGAATAATAGTTGGGTGTGACAGAAAAATGGGGTAATTTATTGGATGCATCCCCCCTTTTCTTGTGAATCTCAATGATTATAGTTATGTTCAACTAATTACTTCTGGTTGTCAATTCATCCCAACGAGATTGTTACTTCTTTACGATGCGAATGACTTATTTGAATCAAAAGGAGATATATTGGCTCTTTGACGATAGATTCTTGGTGATTCGGTTTGATAGTGAGTGCTATACAATGGAATTTTTTGTCCTGCACGCTAAACAAGCAGTGTTGCCAAAATATTTATCAAGGCTGTCACAGGGAAGAGCAAAATTGGCAATTTACTTTGCAATACGAAGTTTGGCAATTTTTTGGGAAGATTTTGTAGCTAGTCCGACTTTAAACAGATACGGGATATAAATTAAATCAAGAAATTCTGGAATGAAATCAAAGCAACTGTGAAAAGTCAAATATCGTAGGCCAACCAATTTCTAAATGATATTATGAATAATGAGATGTAATTAAAGTCACATGCCAGCATGAAAAGTGAAACTAATTTATCTATAAACCAAGAATCCCAAGTATCTGATAAACGAACCAATCCAAGGTTGGAATCGTGAAAATAACTCCCAAGAAGAAGAAGAAGAAGAAGAAGAAGAAGAAGAAGAAGAAACATACCTCAAAAATTTAAGACACCCAAAATAAGACCAATTTCTTATAAAAACTATTACCTACTAACAACTAGAACCATATCTCAAAATTTAAACTTCTCAAGACCTTAACCTGGGTCTCCCCCGGGATTCTAAATCCAAAGCATAGGGGAGGACCTTGGGACTTGTAATGTCATGAATATCCTAACCTTGTGAGGTATATTTTGGGCCAAGACCACGAGGCCAAGTGGTCCAAAGTCGAAAATGGACCCTGTGGCCAATCAAGCATGAACCATGTGATGTATGCAATTCATTCTCATCTCTAATATACAGTGATTTTTTTAATTTTATTTTTAATTTTTGCCTTTTCTTTTTCCATTTTCAGTTATTAAATGCCACAGAATAAAAATCCCCTAATAAATCCTGAGACTGGCTATTTCCTTCAATGAAATTTTTTTCTCTCAATTTTCTCGTCCATATGTCCTTAGTAGTTGGGGAAACAACATAAAAATTTGTAGATATAGTAGTTGGGAAGCAACATATAAAAATTGTAGAATTAGCTGCTTCTAAAATATTATGCTGTATTACATTTTGCCCCTTTTCAATAGCTTTTATAATTTTGAGGAGATAAGTGCTATTATAATTATATTATTTTATGTGTCACTTAGTTTTGGCTCATCTACTAAGGCTTTTCACACAGTGGAAACTTATAGTTATTGAGGAATAGTACGCACTGATTTATCATCGACTGAAATTGGTTGCTCACAAGTCATACCAGTTACCTATCCCACCTGCATTTAGGGCTTATTTATCTCACTGGCTGGGGAAGATTGTAATGAATAAAAAGCATGACACTTGGATCAACACATGAGTTTTGCACAAGTTGTTTTGCTCTGGATGCTGTCCTCTGGAGATTAGGATCCATGTTTGTATGAGAGACTGTTATAAGAAACCGCTTGGGACATAATCCTCATTGTTTCCGTTTTTCTCTTCTCATTTAAGATAAAACCATTATGTCCAATAAGAGCAATTTCCCAGTTAGATTCGGTAAAAAGTTTTTATTAAAGACTGTGTAATAAAATCCGTGTTTATGATTTTGTTTTATGCATGTTTCATGCATTAATATTTTGCTATTATTTGCTCTGGTCAAGATGCTTTTTTTTTTTTGGTTTCCTCATAACTCAGTTCCTTCATTTTTTAAACTACGAGATTTATCACGTTTCTTACTAGTCATACCATTAAATCAACATTAATGTTTCTGTTTCATTATAAATATTGGGGGCTGGACTTAAAACAATGGAGACTGTTCACGGTCAAAATCATTGCATCAAAATAATTAACATATTGAGTAATTTTGCCCGTATGTTAATAGGATGATGTTCGGAGGGAAACTCAAATACTGAGCTTAATTGATCATCCTAATGTGATCAGAGCATGTTGTACATTTATTGTCGCCTGTAACCTTTGGGTGGTAATGCCTTTTATGGCCGAGGGTTCTTGCCTACATCTCATGAAGATAGCATATCCTGATGGATTTGAAGAGTCAGCCATTGGGTCTATCTTGAAAGAAACTCTGAATCCTTTGGAATATCTTCATCATCATGGCCATATTCAACGTGATGTGAAGGTTAATTGATTCTGAAATATTGAACCTATAACACAAGCAAAAAGACATTTCCAGATTTGACTAGTTCATTGAAATCAGCTAGGCTTACTTTGAGGTTTGATTAACATTAGGGTTCGGGGTTCGGGGTTAGGGT